TCGACCAGAATGATTGTAACTGTCGAACTCTCTGCCTCGGCCGCAGGGCAAAGTTTCGTCCGGGGAGGTAGACAGTCACTGAACCCGTTTAGGCGGGTTCAAAGGGAATATTTTTGACCGAGCCTACGGGCTCGGAGTACCCACAATAAACCGGCCTTGTGCCGCATACACCTTCGTGAGGGTGCTGTTATATATTAACAGTCGGTCAGACCGTTCATTTCTGTCGAACTCTGTGCGTCGACAGAGAGGAACTCGGACGAAGCTTTGCCGCAGGGCAAAGTTTCGTCCGTGGAAGTAGACAGACCCTGAACCCGGTTAGGTTGGTTCAAAGGGAATATTTTTGGCCGAGCCTACGTGCTCGGAGAACCCACGGTAAACTCGGCCTTGTGCTACATACACCACTCGTGTGAGGACGCTGTTAAATATTAACAGTCGCCTAGATTGTTCATCTGTCGGACTCGCTGCCTCGAGCAGAAAGGAACCCGTACGAGTCTTTGCCGCAAGGCAAAGTTTCGTCCAGGGACGTCGACAGTCCCTGCACCAGATTAAGCGGGTTTAAAGGGAATATTTTTGGCCGAGCCTACGGGCTCGGTGTAACCACAATAAACCGGCCTTTTGCCACATACACCCTCGTGGTAGGGCGATTAAATATTAACAGTCGAATAGATTGTTCATCTGTCGAACTCTCTGACTTGAGCAGAGAGGAAACCGCACGAGGCTTTGCCACAGGGCAAAGTTTCGTCTGTTGAGGTAGACAGTCCCTGAACCCGTTTATGCGCTTCTAACGGAATATTTTTGTCTGAGCCTACATTAAACTTAGTCTTGTGCTACATACACCCCTCGGGGGGGGGGGGCTGTTAAATATTAACAGTGGACTAGACTTCGTAACTGTCGAAGTCTCTGCATCGGCAAACAAGAACCCGGACGAGGCTTTGCCGAAGGGCAAACTTTCATCATGGGAGGTAGACAGACCCTGAACCCGTTTATACGGCTTCTATCGAATATTTTTGGCCGAGCCTACGGTCTCGGAGAACACACGGTAAACTCGGCCTTGTACCAGGGTTAGCCATCAGTAGAGGTGGAGGCTGTTAAATATTCTCGGCAGAGAGGAACTCGGACGAGTCTTTGCCACATTTCTTTGCCACAAAGTTTCGTCCGCGGACAGGCCCTGAACCCGTTTATACAGGTTCTAATGTTAGGATTACATATATTATATGGGTTCTAAGGTTAGGAGTACATATTTGAAGCAGACACTAGAAAGAACCAGAAGCCCTATCCTAAACAGGAAACAAGACATAAACCTCTACACATATTCGAAAGACTGCGGGGTGTCAACCGGGAGATGCGAGAACCTATCTACTCCTATTGGTGGAGGTGATAAAAAAAATAAATAAAATTAATAATTAGTGAATAAAATTCCGGAGTTCATGCGGAGATGTCAGAAGTATAGAGTTGAAGTAGGCTTAAGAAGGAGCCGGAAACCTAATCCTAAACATAAAACAAGGGATAAACCACTACTCCTTTTCAAAAGACCGAGAAAGGCATTTTCCCACTAATTATGAAACAGTAGTTGTTAGAGGGAAAGTATGACCCAGAAACCCACCATCAGTATTTGATCATTTTCCATCAAGTGTATTACCTCGTGCTCAACAAAAACTAAGAACAACAAATAAAACTTAAATGATGAGCACATTTTCTAGTAAAAAGACAAAATCCTTACTTTTGAAAATTTGCTCACCAGGATTTTACGTCAGCAGTTACATGTTATAAATCAAACAATTAGCTATCCTTTCAATCTGTTGATTTTTTTCACTAGAAGTTTTCTAATTGTTTTAATGAAAATTTTTGAAACCTTAAGATTTGAGTGTTACCATGATGGGAGATGCACACCTTTTTTTTCTTACAAAAAGTCTAATATTAATGTTTCAACATTGAAACAATTCATTATGTTACTAAATTAAAAATTGATGAAAAATTCAAAAAAGCATCTCAATATTATGTCATCACAAAGGATTGGTACGAAATATTCTGGTTCTGATTTTCTTATCAGCACATTTGAATATTTAATAACAGTGTTCAGGATGATTTTAAGTGATACAGTGTGAGAAAATTATCAGCTATGACATCAAATGTCTCAAAATTAAACGACTTTAATTTTCTTGGTATTATAGTTTTTTTGAACATTTCACTCATTTCGGTTGTTTGTGTCTTTCCACTTGATCTTGTTTTTCGTGTTGAAACATTTAAATTTCTTGAACTTTTATCAAGTATCGATAATTAACATCTGATTTCCTCAATTTCTCATTTTAATTTTGCCTTCCAGGTGGGCTCTTTTTGTGTATCGTTTAATCTTTTATTTGGCATCAAGTTTTTCAGTAGCTGCTAAAGCTATTGCAGATATGGCATTATTTACTTCTGTGATGTTTTCCAGTGCACTGTCCGTTAACAATGTTTGCAATGCAGAGTTATATGTTTGCACAGTATGTTTACTGTCATATAAATTTATTATCATCATTATTATTATTTTTATTATTATTGTCTGTGTATATTATGCTTCCTGCTTTGTATCTGGTAGAGCCGGGTTCAAACTTTTTTCTTTAAGCACTATAAGAAAATTGTCATTTAATTGATAGCACTTTTCTTAGTATATGGAATGATCCTAGTAGAGTGATCTTCTAGGCAACTTGTATGTTTATGTTACCGGGGATACTGTGAGTAAAATTGTCCATTCCTTTTCTCACTAGGCATAGAGCTCCGATTACTATTGGTACAATCTCAGTCTTCATTCCCTTCATCCTATTAATCTTGATCTTCAGGTCCTTGTATTTGGACAATTTCTTAATAATTTTCAGGTGTTTCTTTCAGATGTCAATAAGCGTACACTTTCTTGTCTTTTATGATAATATCAGGTCTGTTGGCTTTTATTTCCCTGTCAGTTTGAATGGGCATGTCCCAGAGGATAGTTACATCGTTATTTTGGGTAATTGTGACTGGTTGGTGCTCATACCAACTCTCAGTGGTTTCGATTTTGTATTTCTTCAATATCTTCTAGTGCACATCTGTCGCTACCTTGTTATGTCTGTGGGTATATTCATTTTTTGCTAGTTATGGGCATCCTGGGATAATATTTTCAACAGTTTCATCTGTATACTTGTGTATATTCCCCAGACGTTCTATCTCAAGTTTCTGACATGAATTAAATCCTGATTACAACTGGGTGCAAAATGTATGAGTTTTTGTAGCATAAATTATATCGTTCTTCATTAGCTACAAAATTAACGATTGCAGTGATTTACTATTATTAAAATGTGTGGATATCTCCATTTTATTACCAAAGGATCAGTAACTAATAAGATTCACCTCTTTCATAAAATATTTAGATAAATTATTTATGGACCTTTTACTTTAAACAGAAGCAATACTGAACCGCATTTCCGTTTGCAATACTGTACTCGAACGCAAAAAACGCCCCATTTTTTAAAAGACCGGTCACAGGCGATGAATGAAAAAACCTATAAGGGAAACGAAACGAGCCTGTCTACTATCGATGAAGGTGATTATATGTATGGGATTGGGAGGCATTATTTCTTACTAGAACTTTCTAGAAAATCATGTATCAAATTCAGATAAATACTGTTCATATATTGCCAATTCAAGGTAGAAATCGATGATAAATGTCCGGAATTGGCTAATCGGAAGAGTGTCGTCTTTCATTAGGACAACGCCAGATCTCATGTCTTATGCAAACTCGGTAGAAATTGGTACAGCTTGGTTGGGATTTCATAGTATACCTGCCGTCCTTAACTAATCTTGCACCTTCGGGCTACCACTTATTTCGATCTCTACAAAATTATTTTAATGGAAAAACTTCATCTTTCTGGTAGCCTGTAAAAACTAATTGAACCAGTTCATCGACTAGAATGATCACAATGATGACAAAATATAGTGGAACAAAATAGCACATATGTAGTTGAATAAATCTATGAACACATATTTAAATATTGTGTTTGAAATTCCCTTAAAAACTCTACACACTTTTTCGATGCAATACATGTTAACATTTGAATTTCAACCTTTAATCCTATTATAAATTTTTAGGTATCATAATTTCAAATTTCCTAAGCAATTTTGCTTACTTGACGCTACTAATTATGATTGGTTACTTGCAACAGCAGCTTTGATGTAAACTTGAAATCACAACCAGCTATTTAACATTGTTTTTCGGTATTATTATTGTAATATACGTTTGTACTCGCTTATAAGATGAATTGATATGTCATATATATCTGCTTATTTTTTATATTCAGCCTTTCTATCGTATCATATAATGTAATGCAATTAACGAGAAATGAATACGAATAAAATCTAAACAACAAAAAACTAAAAAAGATTTAATGGATTATTGTAAAAATGAAACGACGAATAGTGTAATCAACAAAGTAATGAAAACTACCGCAGTAAGTCTGAGAATTAGAAGACGCTGAGATAATATGGCGTACACTTCTTAACGGATTGTAGGTATAATTGTGAAATAACACGTCTCTTGCATTTCGGGGGGACAAATAAATAAAAAAAACAGCATATTCTCTCAAATATGGACACTATCATTTTAACGTTGGAATAAGATCTTTGACAATCACTATTCAAGAATAAAATACAACATTCCATCGGTTTCAGTGGCCACTGCTTTTAAAGAATATATTGGTGACTTGATATTTCGATAGTAATTCAGTTACAAAACATAAGCAAAATCAAATATATTTTCCTTTTGATAACATATTAACTTCACTTTTCTAATCTGTTTCCATTTTTTTTATTTTAAAATTTTCAGGATGGTAAGGTATGTTTGTATGCATGTTATGAGTATTCGTGTATCTCTCATATATATAAGTGCTATACGAGGCAGTGCATTTTTATTGTTTTGTGGAAGCGCGCGCACGCGCTCACACACACACAGGCACAAATATAGGTCTGTATTATTGCCTTTGTATCTGTGCCGCATGTGTAAAGCAAAGAAAAAGTACACTGACCAACACTTTCCTCTTTTTCTCCTATCTCTCTCTCTCTTTCTCTCTTTCTCTCTCTCTCTCTCTCTCTCTCTCTCTCTCTCTCTCTCTCGTTCAATTAGTCAATCCCAGTATGAAGAAAAAAAGGCTTGGAGAAAAAGAGAATGGAGGACTTGTGAAATGTCTTGTCGAAAATTCGTGCAAATTTCCTAAAGCAGCCAACTTGCTAACTTACGCACAGATGGCAAATCTAGCAAATGCTTCTTCCACTCCCTATTTCCTCAGCCTGGCGGAAAATTTCCATCTGACATTGTTGCTTACTAATCTGACCTTTCACATTTATTCACAAAGGAAAAACATAATTACCTGATGTTTGCCATAAGTTTTTATTTTCTTAAAGAATTTTGTTTGTTTTTTGGGGGGGTTTTTATTTGAAAATTCCAAACTTTGTCGCATACTGATTGAAACAGATAAACACCACAAATAAATAGAAATTATGGTCGTTCAAAATAATGCCTGTATTTAACTAATTACAATAATAATTTAATAGTAGAATCACACAAATCATACTAAAATGGAAGTAAAAGTCACTGGATCCCAAATGAATTCATCAACATAGTTTTCTTAATTTTCGACTAATGAATGAGGATCTCTATACACGCCTCGCAGCAGTTTCTTTCATGCTTTCATAGCCATGTACGAGTTGTCTCTTTACTTCATAATCATTGGAGAACACCCGTACTGAGTGCTTTTCATAGAAGGTGCTATCGTTGTTACGCAGCTTCAGAAACTCTTTGGCAGCAACTACACTCTGCTTCTTGATAGAGTATGCTAGTATTCTATATATACACTTTGAATAAACCTTTGAATAAGTAAGAGACTGCATTAATCTACAATGGTTAGAGTTAGAATTTTTCAATAGTGATTCTCGTGTGTCTAATCTTTATGACCTACTTTGTTCGGCCATATTTTGGATTTATGGCTACTATGAGGGTGTAATGCATTTCTTTAATGGATATATTCTGCCTTAATATGAACAGTGACAAGGAGGACGATCTTCTGGATTTCCTGTATCTTTATTCAGCTAGAATTCTTTGTGCATTTTCCATGATTCTTTGACCAGGTCGAGAACACGTATTACCACTAGAATTGTTGGGGTCTTCTATTTTCTTTTTTTTTTAATTTTGAATCTGTAGTTAATGAATGAGTCTGCAAAGGTGTTGATTGTTACTATTCTTTTGGTGGCATTTAGCTCTGATTTAAGCACTAGTCGTATTCGACTGCACTACACTTCAGATTATCTTTTTCCTCTTCGCTCATTGTATACCATCTCCCTCATTCACACAAAATATGTCAACCTTTTTCTAGATCTTTCTGGATTAGGCTTAGCGCATTTATCAAAACCGAACTTCATTTTGATATTGCCACTAAAGTTTTTATTTTATTGATAGTAAATAGGCCTTTCTGCTTATCGTCATTTTCAGCCGAAGTTTTTCACTGTAAAACAAAGATTTGGTCACTGGTGTTGCTTTTTTATAACCATATTTACTGTTTTTCGCAAGAGTGGATAGAGGAGCAAGAGCACTTAAAAAGAAAAGAGGTGAGAACATATTTCTTTTAGGTTTCAACACTGATATTAATTTAACATGATGGTATAATTCCCTGGTTATAATATATTTTGAGTGTTCTTTTCCATTGCCATTGCCAGATATAATTGATGTCAATGCGTGGCTTTTTGCAACTCATATAATTTAATGCTGCCAGGAATTTGATCCACGTTTGTTTGCTCCTTTTGATATCTTTCGTAGAGCCGTACTAACAACAGGTAATGTTGTCTTGATCTACTGATTTCTATCACGTGACCCTTGTATTATTATTATTATTATTTATTTATTTAATTAATTTGAATTTCGATTTGATTCAATCTTCTATCAAACCTTTGACCTGAAACCTAAAGTAAAGGAATTTATTGAATAAATTTTCTAAATATTGAGTAGTACTCATTAGTACAATCTTGTCAAATAAAGATGGGTTTTCTCCATATTTCTATCCCTATCCCTAGTATTTTCACAACTATTCGAATAATAGTTGCTTTTAAATACCACATTATATTAATTTTTATTTCTTGATGCATATATTTAGAAATTATATCAATTTCTCTTGGGAAAAACTTTTGATTGGATGATCTGATCATATCAATAGGATACCATTTATAAGAGTAAGTGTTTCTCTCTCCATTTAGTTTTAAGGTTGATTAGGTCCTTAAATTTTAATTTTTCTTTGATGCTTTCTCTCCTTTGTTAGTAGTATGTATTCGATTTAATCTTGATCGCTTAGTTTTAGATTTCTCTTTTTTTGCATTCTTTAATTACTGAATATAGATTTTACTTGATGCATACTAGCAAGCACGCTTTAACATCGAATCAGTTATCGATTCTAGGTATCTTTCAAGCCCCATGGTTATGGTCGTCTCTATGAGTTCTAGTTGCATCACTTCCCTGGTTTCAGCTGCCTTCGGTACATACTATTTATCTCTTTTTTGATATAACTGAATTTATATATAATTAAAATTTTCAAATTTGTCTGTTCTCTGAATCTATTAAAAAATCCTACTTCATCAATTTAAATGAATATATAACATTAAGTACGGATGTGTTAATAGATACAGTTTTGACATATTGATTAGTTTCGTTTATCGCTATTGACTTTTAATGACTCAAAAATATATGTACTCTTATTTCTGGTCCAGTTCATAAATCATGGTTCCATTATCAATTTTACATTTGGGTACGAAATTCTATTTTTTAAAGATAGCTTTGTCACATCTGTCTCGGACAAATTCCATGGGGATAACATCGCCGACCGTTCTGAAGTTGCAGACATACTTTCTAGTTCATTATCACTTGGCATTTTCAAATTATCCATGTCGGACAGCCGATTATTATTTAAAAAAAATCTTGACCTGCATTTGTTTTATAATCACATGCCGAATCATAATCAATGACATAGAGCAAGTAAGTTGTTTTCCCTTCAGCTATCACTAAGAATTTTGTTGATGCTTTCCTTTCTCTATTATTATTATTATTATTATTATTATTTTCTTTGATTTCTGGCGTTTACACATTTCTTTCCGGGTCCCGCCCAGGGACCTAAGGTTAGAAATGCCATCATGACACTTTCCACTGACAAAAAAAAAATTACATAGATGAAGCCCTTCCTAAAGTGTGGGCTGTACTTGTCAGAACAATTTTTTGTATCTCCTTGAGACATGGACTTCCAGGAATCCCTTCAATTAGTCTACTGCAATCTTTTCCAACCAGTCCTAGGGCTCCAACTACAACAGGGATTGTTGATGTTCCCATGTGCCACATTTTCGAGATTTCTATTTCAAGGTCCTTGTATTTTGACAGCTTTTTGGATATCTTCAAAGATACATTGCAGTCAGCAGGGACTGCCATATCAACAAGGAGGCACCGTTTTTGTTTGTGGTCTTTAATAACAATATCTGGGCGGTTGGCTTTGATTGTTCTGTCAGTGTGTATTGTGTAGTCCCATAGAATTGTAACAGGTCCTATCTCCGTAACCGGGTCTGGTTGGTGTTCATACCGGTTTCTTTCAGTTTTCTTCCCGTAGAAGTTGCAGATTTTCCAGTGCAGATATTGGCTCACACTGTCATGCCGGGTTTTATATTCAGTGGGTGCCAATATCGTGCAACCTGATACAAGATGATCAATCGTTTCTGGATATTTATCACAGAATCTGCATTTTGGGCTGACACAATATTTTAGTATATGTGCTTGATAATTCCTAGTTGGCAAGCATTGGTCCTGTGCAGCAAGGATAAAACCTTCAGTTTCAGCTTTCAACCCTGCACTAGGTAGCCACTGATGGGTACGGGTTTTGTCTACGTCAGCTTGTTTGGTACAGGCAGGGTATTGGCCATGAAGCGGTTTATCTTGCCATCGCTTCTGTATCTGGTCGGTTGCATTCGTCTTTGCTGCCTTTTTTAATATTTTGCAGTTTCAGTCGATGTATTGTGCTGTAGTTGCATCTCTACGCCCATTTGAAACTCCAATTTGAATTTGTTGGCTTCTTTTATTACGGAGTAAAGACGCTTACTACTTTCATGTTCCTTGACGCATACCATCATCCAGTCTTCTGTAGTTTCCAAGTATCTTTGGAGGCCAATTGTTGTAGTTTTGTAGGACAGTTCTAGTTGAACTAATCCTCTGCCTCCTTCGGATCTGGGCACATGCAGACGATCAACATTAGCTTTAGGGTGATGCATGTGATAGCAAGTGAGAAGCTTTCTCTTTTTGGCGTCCATTCGCTTAATTTCAGCCATGGTCCAGTTAAGGACATTAAAGCTGTATTACACCACAGGGACAGCCAATGTGTTTATGGCCGATATTCTGTTTTTTGAGTTTAGCTCAGTATTTAGTACCAGACGTACACGGCTGTAGTACTCTTTTCTTATTTTTTCCTTCATTTGGGGGTGTTATATGCCATCTCCTTCGCTAATTCCTAGGTACTTATAAGCTTCATCATGCTCCAGTTCCCTAATCTTTGTGACAAAATCTAAATCTATTAAGGGTGTTTCTGTAATTCTACCTTTCTTGAATGTTACTTTTGCACATTTATCTAATCCGAAGTCCATACCTATGTCGTCACTGAAGTATTTTACAATATTGAGGAGGCCTCTCAACTCATTGTCGTCTTTGGCAAAGAGCTTGAGATCATCCATGTAGAGTAGGTGATTGAATATTTTCTTATTTAATTTGTAACCATAGCTACTGTTGTTCAGTTCATGTGTAAGAGGGATTAAGGATAAACAAAACAGAAGGGGTGACAGAGAGTTATTATTATTATTATTATTATTATTATTATTATTATTATTATTCCTTTGATTTCTGTTGTATATACATTTCCTTCCGGGCCGTAATCAGAAACCTACGATCAGAAATGGCTTCATGGCATTTTCCATTGATCGTTTTTGTAAAAGAATGAAGATCACACAAAATTATATATATATATAAAGCTCTTCCTAATGTACTTGTGAGCACATATTTTTTTTTCTTTTCTTTTTTTTTTTTTTTTGGTATCACTTTAAGTCATCGGCTTCCAGGAATCCCTTCAATGAGTCTATCGGAACAGTTTCCAATCGATCCGAGGGCTCCAACTACAACAGAAATTAATGATGCCCAAATGTAAAAAATCTTCTGAAATTTCCACTTCAAGATATTTGTATTTTTATAGTTTTTTTTTAACATCTTCAAAGATACATTACAATTCTGTTTTCTGATCTTTGATCACGATGTCTGAACAATTAACTTTGATTGTTCTGGGTGATGTTTATACCAGTTTCCTTGCCGTAAAAGTGGACTATTTTCCAGGGCATATATTGGCCCACTCTATCATGCACATTTTTATATTCAGTAGGTTCTAATACTGTACAACCTGATACAAGATGGTCAATTGTTTCTTGGTATTTATCACAGAATTTGCATTTCCGGTTAACACAATGTTTGGTTGCTAATTTCTAGTTATCAAGCAGAAATAAAACCTTCGGTTTCAGCTTTTAACCCTGCACTTCTACATCCAATTGAAATTCCCTTTTGAATTTGTTCTTATTTACATAATCGTAATGATAATTATTTTTAGAGATATTTACATTCCCAAAAATAAATTTATAAACACAAACGCACATATAATTGAAATTCATGTTTCAAAATTTCTGCCGCTCCAGAATTTACCGGACTCCTACTGCCATGCTATATCTTTAAAAAGGTCAGACCAGAACAAAAATGGAGTATTGCTGTCAAGTTTTGACGGGAGGAACCCAATACTCATTTTCAACCTCGACAGTGTTCAAAAGCGTTTACACGGCCTTGAGGGTAATGAATTCTTTTCTACTGTACAACTCTTGCTAGTATCTCGCTACTCTATCACTATTTTCATGACAGAATTTCAGGCAAACTACAATCCTTAGTTCCATCAGTCCAGATCTCCACAGCCAGGACCCACCAGGTCACGAACACTGAGTCATCTCGTCATCATTCTCTTCAGACAACTTCTTTAGCCCAGATATGTTGTATTATGGAATGGACTCCGGAGAGGATGCTTCCCCGATCACTATAACCTTCAGTTCAATGATCAACCGTTCTCTCCTACATATCTTTATGCAATACACCTCTTGATACATCTCTCTATGCCCTTACAACAACCGAATTTAGTGATCTCTGACATGAGGGGCTCTTAAGTCTTGTAAACAATACTATGAAAAAAGACTTTCAAAATGTTCCGACTAGGCTATGACCAAAGAAAAACATTTCTGTCTTACTTGACCTATGACAATGTTCCTAGATAATAAAAAAAGTATTTAAATATTGTTCTGGTGCTTATGTCGCATAAGTATTTTATGTTGTGTTGCAAAGTTTCAGCAGAGAAACAACAAAGAAAAATGTGAGAGATAAAAAAGAGAACAAATTGTACAAAATTTTATTGTAAATGTAAATTACACAAATACACGCTGCATACACATACATAGCCGAATGTATGTATATGCGTATGTGGCATATATATATATAGAGAGAGAGAGAGATGTGTGTGTGTGTGTGTGCGGGTGTGCGTGCTTGTGTGCGCGCACGCATCTGTGTCGGATCCAAAATTAAGGTCTTAATCCAGTCCTGCATGTTAATCTTTCTTTTCAGAAAAACCTATTCGATTTTATTGGAGGAATTGCAAGGGAAATGAAAAATCAATTTATTATCGATTAAAAATTCATTATTTAATAAGTATGTATGTGGGATAATGGTTTTGGAAAGTCGTCTGAGCTAAGTACTTTCAACACGCCCTTCCATAGTAATTTAATATGCATAGATTAGTTATAGCACAAGTAAGTGCTATAACTAAGCTATGCCGAGATTAAGAAATACCGAAAGAGGATTGAACTCACTACTCAGTCGCAATTGCATCATTTCCTACTATAGATGGGTTGATGGCTTAATAATGGATGAATAGTCAACAAACATGGAAAAAAATTAAAGTGTCTAACAAAAGATTTTAGAATTTATAATTTTTAAATTGATCTACTACACAGCAAATATATTTATTTAGAGAACCCCTACTGATACATATCCTGCAAATGTTTAATGGCATTAGGCATTAATAATAGCTGATTCACTGGGAAACATAAAGAAACAAAGAAATTACGAACTGAAACACGGTCAATGACATCCCGTTCTGTTCTATTTTCAGTAACGCATTAATGTCAAATATAGATAACTTTTTTCTGCTGCTACTGCTGCTGCTACGGCTAGTAATAATAATAATAATAGTAATAATAATAATAATAATAATAATAATAATAATAATGCTCTAACTCACGTATTTTGTCACAAAATTTCCAGTTACATTTGATGCGGATATGAGTTATTTTATCAAAAGTACATTTAATAATTACGTGCTGCAAGCCGGAACTTAAGGTGTATAAAAACACTGTTCTAAACAATTCTTCAGTCATTCTTGAAGCTGATAAACTTTAATAAGAAAGAAAAGTTTGAAAATGGGAAAAATGTTGAAGATTGGAGTTTTTTTGTTTGCCATGATTGTTCTAAGCAGTGGTCTCTACAGAAACAGGCGACGTGAGTATACAATTTCATGCCTAATGATTTTCTTACTTCTCGTAAGATATATTTTAACTTTCTATGAGATTTCATTATAAAAATAGTGAATAATTGGTTTATTAAAATCGTATCTCCGATATATTGTCACAATTGATCAATTATTCATTGCCGTAGTTCCATACAAGCAATAAAAATTATTAGCGTTTTTTTGATGATCTTTAAACTCTGGAAGATGAGAAACTTGCTTTTCCTAGTCTTAAATGAGTGGCTGATCAGGTGATTGCTTTGAATTGCAATGTTTCCATTGCCTATTATGTGTTAATTGTTTAGTTGATTGGTAGGGTCTTTATTTTCTTTCTAATGGCTGATACTCATATAAATCTACAAATAGTTTACCGAATAAATAATAATTCAATTATCGAGCGTTACCGTGTACAATAAAAATTAATAAATGTTCTTTTGATTTCAATTTTACCTCGGAAAAATTATTGGTCACAATGTATTACATCTTTCCTTCGATAAACAAAAACTTTTATTTTTCTGAGAATCACTAAGAGAATTACAATCATTGCCTTTTAAAATTAACAGTTAAATGGATACTATTCCCAAATAAGTATCCATAGGAAGAAAATTATACAGTCAAAATACATTTAATAGCTGCTCAACTAAACATTGGAAAGGAAGATATTTTAGGTTTGGAAAAATTGGATTGAAAATAATTGTCGCATTGAAGGTTTTCTGCTAATCAAAGCCGATATGGGTGAAATCCAAATTGCCTGATAAAATATTTCGTCACTTCTTAAGCTTTTCGCTTATTTAACTCTTATAGCAATTCTAAAATTGTATGAATATTTGTAAGTATTAAAACAGGCTTCAATGTTATAATAGGGAATAAGCTTTTGCTTATCACTGCCTCATAAAATGGAGAGTTTCTTTTTTACATTAAATTCCAGTTTTTTCAAGTTTTTTGCAATATTCTTTGAAACAATTCCAAGTGCCAGTAATGATTGGCGCAACTTTTACCCTCACTTTTCCTCATTTACAGTCAATAGCAAAAGGTTTTAGGTACAGTATCAAGTGTAAAGATTATATCACTTATAAATGTGATTCTAGCTTTAATCCAAAACAATCCAGATATAGAAAATCTTAGATATGTCTTTAATTTGTTGTTTATCACTATTTACACTTTGTATTAAATGTAACCCTGCACTTGACACTGTACCTAAAATATTTACTCGAGTAACTAATTTTCTTTTTCTTCATTACAATAACTAAATATGGACTGTATTTCGTGATCCGCTTAAATTTCAAAATCCCATTTTTTGATTCCCTGCCATAGATTCGGATTTGTGTACAACTTATTCCTTTGTATTGACATATTTCATGCGTTTACACAAATCTAAGTCACACGTTTTCCCATTCCAGTACATACCTATTTTGTTATTTCTGAGTAAAGTTTCTGCATTACTTTATATTATTATTATTTCTTCCTATAGCTCGATGCGGAATGAGAACTTACAACCCAACAACGCACCTTTGCTGCGCAAGGCATGTTGTATCTAAATTCGGAATTTCTCCCAGCTGTTGTGCAAAACGTGCATACGATAACAAATTTCAGATATGCTGTAGCCGAAGAATCTTTGACAGACACGGCATTCAACCAGCATGTTGTAAGAAACGTTTATACGATGCTGCTTTTTACAAGTGTGTCCGTGGAAAAGTAGTTAGAAGATGAACACTGTCTAAAAATGTTTCTTCAATTCAGTCCTTGGATATCATTAATAAAATTTATCTTGGAAAATTTTCAAAATAATTAAAAGATGTGCTTTAAGAAAAATTTCTATAAACTTATAAAAATATACCTGGAAATTTCTTTTTTTGCAAAATAAAACTTGAATTTAATGCCATATCTGTAGTTTTTTGTATGCTCTTTTTACTAACTTTTAATATTTACCTTCTCTCTTCAATATATGGGAAGTGAGCGTATCGTAGTCGCTATCGGCTCGGAAAGTGTGATTGATGAGCTGAGTTCATATTCCAGTCGAGGGCGTTGAAAGGGTATGTATCCATCTCCTCTCCCCACCAACTAAGAGTTAATAGCAAAGCAGACTGAGCTATTTGTAACAATATGAGTCAGCTGAGGTCTTGTTAAATTGAAAAACAGTGAGATCTGTCGCACAACTCGATACGGGACATTTACATTTGACCGATGGTAATCAGTAAGAGAAGTGAACTTCAATTTATAAAACAAGAAGGTCAGACGGAGAAAAAGTCACAGGACTAATTAACAGGATTAATTACTTTTTTAGATGAAGATGACAAGACATGAAAAATGGTTGTCTATGAAACTGACCATCCTGCGAAAAGGCAATTACTAAGAATGAAGTGGGCCTCGCAGAATGGACATTGAATACGGCAGATGAACTCTGCCCTTCCTCGTCACTTACACCACATCTCTACTTCACTCGCTTATAGCAGCAAGTTACAACCAAAGAATAAAAACTTTTACTGCTAGAAATTGTTTTGTTCTTCACCCGTGGCCGAAGGGTAATTTTTAAGCTACAAGCGTTTAACTTCAGGAAACTGCAACCTATCAGAAAACCTGGTGTATAGTCTGAGATGCAACGCAGCAAAGCTGAAAACATTGATGCCGAAACCAGAATTCAAAGAAAGAAAACCTTGTCTACCTATTAGTACCAAGGAATACAGCATGAAGACAATTTTAAGCTTTTTTGTTGTTTATTTTTGGTTTTTAAATGAAATTTCTTAATAGCTAACTATAAATCCATTAATAAATATATAAAACAAATTCAGTCCATCGATTGAAAAATTGCATCTATAAACTAAAGATTTTAGGGACATTGCATGCATTTGTATATAAGTGCACAGCAACTATCAGTTATCTATGACTGAGCTTATTTGTTTCAATCTAATTGGATCAGTGTTCCATTCTAACCTTATGTTGTGCCCAATGATGAGTGAACAAGTTGATCAAAATCTCATGTTGTCTGTCAAGTGATGTGAAGACAATTCTAAAATTGGTTGGGATCCTTAGCCTCTACCGTGAACTGAGTATAGTTGCCACAGAATTATGTGGAATTGATCAACCAATGCCTGCTATCTAGTTTAACAGTACTCACTGCTGGGAGCAACAAGATTCCTGCTAATCATTTACTTGGCAATACTAAGTACAACCCTGCTTCCTGTGTCTCCTCAGTAGCACTATAATGCCTAATGGGAAGCATCTGAACATTATGGCAGCCTTTACACTGACCGAAGAGAAAAATCCCACAGAAAGTTACCTAGGAAAAGGAAAAATCACTGTAAGTACTGGTTTGATTTCTGGGGATGATCATAACAAAAGAGAATACCGGAAGTAACACTTATTCATATTAACTAGGAAAAGATAATAGTCTAACTTAACCAGGAAACCGCCCCGTTGCATCAAGGGGACGTAAAAGAGAATATCAAGGCTATCCCCTTCCACACCAATCAGGCTCGCTACAGTCACGCACCTTTCGCTGAAATCCATCGAAATCAAACGCTTTCTATCAGATCTGATTTTTACCCTAAGCTGATGCATAAAGAAAACAACCAGATCCTGAATCGAAAAACGTTCATCTCGCAAGATTCCCTCCTTTCGTGACGTCCCTACCACCATTCTTGCTACGGCTAGCAACGTAAAAAAGCACCATCTATTTTAACCCTAACCCCAACCGCTGCCATAGCGGAGGGGTATTTCTCTCACAAAACAAGGACAATCAAACAGCAAAAAATCACAAAAACAAGGCACAATAACAATCACAAATGACACACTTACTATTCCGATGAATCGATAAAGTCTACAAACAAAAGTTCCCAGCTAACGTATAGTGGGCAGTCAAAAAAGTAGGCTGTAACTCAATACAGATCCCCCTGTTCGCTACCACAGTCTCACTGCTATGTCGCCTCGTCAAGCACATTTTGTAGTTTGGGTGATAGGTAAAATTTGCATAGGTGCAAAATATAGTCTCGCGAAAGTATCCGACTCCAAGATCTATCGAAAGGCCGCCGTTTTCTTCTTGGGATACTTTACACGCGAGACACGTTCAAATCTGCTTTCTGCCAAGAGGTTAAACCATTTTCTCTGATGTTACAAAAATACATCCAAAAGGTATAGACCACATAAAAATAAATTTGATTGTCACAACAACTATACACCTGAATAAAATATTATTCAGCTATTTTACATCCTCATATGTGCTACTTCGTAATCTAAAACATTTATTATTTTTAAGTCATTGACATTATTAACTTTTCTGCTGCCTCAACATTAACATTACTTGCAACAGTTTTTTATTGCTTCCCAGAGATCTTTGCATGTACAGCGTTTCCATTCTCATATACATCTCTTTTAATGATAGGCCACACTTTTTCTGTTGGATTAATAGCTGAAGAAGCGATTTTTTGTTGAGACATTTTGGTAAAGTAAGCAATGCTCATTGTTTTAGAATGTGAAAGAGTATTTCTTTGCATGAATATACTCTTTTAAAACCCTTGGTTGTATCTTATAGAAAAAACATCTTCTCCAAGAACTTAAACTTATTTTCTGCATTCCTTCATAATTTTACTACCTATAATACTAAACAAAATAATTTCAACTTTTCAGTCGTGGACTACTTTCATGAAATACCTAAGCTTTAGCCTAGCCATCCAATCCATCCAATTTATTACAATTTATTTATTAATTTCCATGTGTTGCTTACTTAAAAGGCGTTAGTTTGGTTTCTTTCATGTTTATCCAATGATCTTAATATTCTACTTCTTTCCTTTTTTTCATTCACAATACCATCTACCTAGTAAATCCAATTTTCTTGATTATATGGAGTACAAAAGATAAAGAAGGAAGTAATGTTGACCATTTTATAGAACTTAAACAATGCCACATAAGAGGCGTTTGGCGAAACCAAGTAGGGTAATAAAATTGCACAGATGACCAAAACCCTTTCAGTCCCATCATAGGAAAATGTATTTTTTCTTTGTATCATTATTTTCATTTTCTTAGACTTACTAGCTTCTTATTTTCATCAGATCCCTTGTGTAAGGTTTTCTTTTTACTATATCACCAGTGTTTTCAACATCTATTTCTTATTGTTTTTTGATCTGTTTAACCTTTTCGCAATTTCAAAAGCTGTATTCTAGTATATTAATAATTTAGCAATATATTGTTTTTCGTTCGAGGTTGTATCTTTCTTTCTGGAGATTGCAATCATTATATAACTAAAATAAAAATTTAAATATCAATAACTGCACAATTAGCTATATTTATTTATTTACAACAAGATAAACAAACCTCGAATTACGTAATAAAACCTTACACCATCAAATACTTTATTCTAAATATTTCTAATAAAATAAGACGGATATGGTGTATCGATAAAATCACCCAGCATCTTGTGCTGCGAACAGTTTAATAGGAGTAGTTAGGCTTGGTTATCGCCCGAGCCATACACCTACATTGTTTATTAAACAGGAGTAGAGTTTTATCCCTTGTTTCTCGTTTAAGATATGGTTTACCGCTTCTTTCTTTCTTCTGTGACTGATCAGTGGCCGTGACTCTTCATCCTTGTTATCACTTGAGAGGCTGATCTAATCAACAATCGCTTAATATCGAGGTATGTGTAGTGCCATGTCGCCCATGGGTATGTGTGCCTGCATGTATTTCTCATAGCAACCCGAGGCCACATTATGCTTTAGATTCAGCCACGTTCTAACCAGCTTGTATTACCATTGACGACAGACTGTCATAGTGATAATTATTTTGGCCTTTTTCTTTATTTTCCTTCTCAAAACAAATCTCCTTTTAACAAATACAATGAAAAGAAATACGAGAAAACCAGTAAACAAAAAATCACCTAAGCCTCTCACACCTTCTTCAATATTCATGGTATCATTCCAATTTCTGCAGTGTTTAATCTTTTCTTTAGAAACCGTCTCCAGATTCCACTTTGTGGAAGAACCAATTTAAATTATCCCATTACTAGCAATGAATTCTCTGTTCCAGGCTATCTTCCTCCTTACCGTAAAGATTCTATGTTACATATACATGGCCTTCTTGTTCGTATCTTGGAAAATCTGCCTATGACAAGGGAATTGTTTCTTGAAACCCCAGACTATTTTTCATGGTTTTCGACTTTCGTTATTGCTCTCTGTTAGCTATCTCTTCTTCCTTTACTTCTCTCCCTCTTATCGGGACGTCAGGATACTGGATATAATTTCTTACAATATAGAAATGGCTCTCTCTTCAACATCAAATAAACTTTTACAGTAATGCACATCAATGAAAACAGCAATTATCATTCTACCAACACTCGCACAAATGCATAAAAGGGGTAAACACCACCCCCGGATTATACAGGATGCTGCTATCCTCAGTATCCCACGAAGTAGATTACTCGGGTTGAGTCGTATCGTGCAACTTATGCTAGTGGCATGTCATCTTTATGACACCTGTTGCAGAAACACAAAATAAAATTGTTCGAAGTCAACCTTGTGGTTATCACATTTTTTCTTTGCATAGGTATCTTAAATGTTTTTTTCGTTTGTTCTTTATCAAACCAACATAATTTTTGATTAACTTGTTTTCAACAAAACTTTCTTTGTAGATGTCTTCAGTTCCCACTTTATATGT